ACCAGCACAAAAGTCCTTCGTTTTTTTTTAATGTCGTGTCATAATGCCATCTACACCAGAGCCGTACTTTCCTTAAGGCCCTCCCCCCCGATAATGAGTCTTACTGAGCCCCAGAAAGGATTCCTTCTAAAAAGTTCTAAATACCCAGGCCCCTAGATTGCAACCTTAGACGCTTGCGCACCACCACCGAACCCCCGTGCTGCTCGGACGCTGTGGGATCTGTCTGCATCTGTGACAGGATGGCTGTAAGGTTTTGTGGTTAGGGCTTCAGGGTGTTAGGGTCTATGCTTAGTCTCGGGCACGGTTAAATGCAGGGGTCTGGTTTCGAGTATCATGCAGGGACCCTTAACAGCCTTAACATCGGCAGTTGTTCGGTTGACAGGTTTCGTATGAGAATAGCAAAGTTATGGTTCCCAGACGCGTGCAGGAAAAACAACATCACGCACCCCGAGTCTAGCATTTTTGTTGATGTCACCGTGGTCCCTATATGTGCAAGATAAACACATAGATACATCACATATATATATATATATATGTTTACTTATTTATGCAGAATCACGACACCGCAGACAGGGCAGATCTCAGGCGGACTTTCTTGCTTCGATGGCAACCTGTGAACTTCAGCAATGTCCCTTGGGCTTTAGGATGTGGGTGCAGGGTTGTGCCTTTGGATGTCGCGGCGAAAATCCCGCATAGCAAAGTAATCGGCGAGCGCAGCCCTAAACTGAAACTGTGAAACGGAAAAGCTGCTTCTTCTTGACATCTACTGTTGCGATACCGACCTCGAGAGCTCTGAGCCTTCTTCCAACCTTCAGGGGCATTCAAGATTGCCTGTCTTCCTCGGAGCGTAGCTCATCTCAGCTTGTCCTGCTATGAGGCAATCTGAAGCCACCTTGCCTCCGAAATGCCAACCCTAAACCCTAAAGCCTCAAGCCTAAACGATCCCCAACCCTGAGCTGAAACTCCCAGATCCGAAGCCAGTTTCTGGACCCTCTTAAACCCTCAAAACCCTTCAACCACAAACTCTAGCTTCTAGAATATCATAGACTGTATACTTATATAGCTTGGATACTCGGAAAAGTGGAGCCCGATGCTTTGAGAGCCAATAAGAGGGCAGCGGCTTCTCGCTGAGAGGAGAGTGCAGATATGCGTGGTGTACTCCTTCGAGTGAGGGCCTCATGACTGGTTGAAAGACGTTGCTGGAAGCAGGTTCGTGAATGTTTCTCATGTCCGGGCTGTGTAAAGACGTGCCCCTCCCACCGGCTCGGAGCTCTCATTTCGACATTGGGTTGACCTACCTGCCCCACCGATCTCGATGTTTCTTATAGTGTACTGAGTAGAACTCATGAGTCTTTCTAGAGCATGCAAATGTACACACATGTGCATGCAGAAGGACTTCGTAAAGACGTGCACATGGATGGCGATGGCCATGGCCGTTCTATACGTGACGATGAGCAGAATCGACACTTTCAGACAATAAGTTTTTAGGCCAATTAGCAATATATCCTTGCTGACACAATCTGCAAGTCAGACTGATCATTTGTCAAGTTCCTGGTGACCCATGCTCGTAGGAAGCTGGCACCACCGGAACTAGAGCTCTTGTCCGGCGGGAGCATCTTTGAGAAGGGCCAGTGAAGGACAGAAAGCTGCAAGGCTAGGAGCCTTTGCCCGCTGTTACAGTTTGAGGGTTGAGAACTGGCATTGATGCTGCGCATCCTGAATGCAAACCGTGCTGCAGACATTCTCGAACCAACAGCCGATTTCTAACGGTTTTGGGTGTTTGAGTTTGTGCGAAGGTGTTAACAGGGCTGAGGCGACATAAGAATGTCATCCCAGAAAGGAAACCGAAGCAATGTAGGCGCGCTTCTGAGCAGAAGCGCACTGGATTTCCAAGTCCTCACTGCGGCTGCTTCCGAAGAGGGAGCCTGTTAGCGGAATTCTCAGAGCCCCACGATGATGGGTGCACTGAGCTCTTGTGGTATCATTGGCTCTGCAGTAACTCCCCAACACACAAATCGTCCACAACAGCAGCCCAAGAAAGCCCAGAGGCAAAGTCTAAGCCCTACAAACCGAGGGTGCACCATCGGGTACATCATGATAGTTGTGGAGATATTCAGTTGCAAGAAGCAGAGAACTGAAACCAAAACCACAAAAGCCCGAGGTGCCAACACTGACACCCTAAACCAGCAACCGAGTTCATGTTTACGCCGGATTTTGTTTCCCCCCCCCCCCGCCCCCGCCCTCACCCCTGAATACATAAACGCAGTTATTCTTTGACACCCGAGCCCTCGCCAGAGTATGCAACCGGAAGCATTAGCCGCGGCCCGGTAATCCACGGTAACCCAAAGCAGCCAAAACTCCAGCAACCCTACTCCTAAACATCATACCCCCCTCCAAACAACAAAAATATCAACGACGCTTCACAGCAACACAAGCAGCTCTGGGGTGACCTTCGGCAAGGTGTGCGCATGCGGAGAATAAAAGGGGGGCAGTGTGAACTTCCACAGGCCAAGGCTGCTTGCCCACGCAGTTGGCTTGAATGCTTTAGGATTTCGGGCATTTATAGTGGGTATTAATCTCTTACTTATGGAGCATGGCTCGCCAATGCAGCTATCTATGAGCTTTGATGCTATGCATACGAACGGCGATTTCCCAGGTCGGGCTCAGTTTGCAAAGCGGCCCACAGCGTTACTTCATGGGTGCCATGGACGATCTACTGAACCTGGAACCGAAACTTTTCATCCCCTCCCCCGCGTGCGCAGGGAAAGAGGAGGGCCCGACACTTTGCATCCGGTACTGTAGCTGGGCTTTGGAGTACCATACTTTAATACTTTTTTTGGGGACCTGTTCCTTAAAGGAACCATTATAAAATAAAAGTCTATACTTTTTTCTCCCTGGTTACTTCAAAGCCCAGGTAGGCCCTAATTACGCTGACAGGTCTTCAACCCTATATGCCCCGTAGAACCAAATCGTTCATGCCTGCCCTGTACAGTAGGACGTGATATATAGTAGAATGTAACATACTGTAAAATAATACTTGGTTTAGTACACCATAATATATTATACTTTATTAAAAATACAATATAGTATAACATAGTGTCGTATGATATAATATACTAAAATATACTACAAACTTGGAGACCCGAGTTGGAAGGAACTGCGCCACGAACCGATGCACTGGTCCCCGCAGGCACAGGTTCCGGAAGGTCCGCGGCAAATATTGACGGCTTAAGGCTTCGGGTTTAATGTGCACATTTTTGTGGATTGAAGCGAGAAAATCTCAAGCTGTACTCAGAAGTGGAAAATGTGGTGATCAACATCCGCACATGTTCCCCGGGCAGGGCTCCCGGCTCATTGGATAGAGCTCCGGGTTCAACAAAGGGTGTTGGTCACATGTGTCGCACGTTACCCCGGCAATCCTCTAGGAACTCATGGCTTACCTCAAGAGGAAAAGTCTTCCAGCACTGAGAACTGAGAACTGTACAGTGCTTTCGCCAGTAGTGCGGATTGGTCAAGCGGTTTTCGCTCGTCAACTGGATACACGTTTTTAAGGCATCTTGTCTTCAAGCTGTAGGCAGAAGGCAGGAAGTTGATCAGTGCCACGCTGATAAGATCTGGTTCGTGGAACTGCCATGCATGCCTTCGACTTGGCCTTTGTCGCGCAGCCATCGGCAAAGTCCTGGCGTTCGAAGCTGAGTTGGGTGACTTTGTGCCTGCTTCGGGGTCTTGTACCTTCAAAGACACGCTTGCTCCGTTTTAGATTGTTGGTAGCAGTACTCGCGGTATTCACAGTGATGTGAATGCTGTAGTAGCACTACTGTAGCAGCCGTTGTCGTGGTTGGCATCGCTGTCGTACTCGTACTAGTAGTAGTAATAATAGTAGTAGTAGTAGTAGTAGTACGTCGTAGTAGTCGTAGTAGTCGTGGTAGTGGCAGTGGTAGTGGTAGTGGTGGTAGTGGTAGTGGTAGTGGTAGCGGTAGTGGTAGTGGTAGTGGTAGTGGTAGTGGTAGTGTGTAGTGTGTAGTGTGTCGTGGGTCGTGGGTCGTGGGTCGTGGTGGTGGTGGTGGTAGTAGTAGTAGTAGAAGTAGTTGGCAGCAGCAGTAGCATCAGCGGCTTACGGTCTGATTAGACATGACGGTGTTCCCCATACCCAATTCCTAATGTTAATGCCCGGTCCTCTTTTCTGAGCACCCTGCAAAAACCCAAGCTCATACCTCGAGCGGTTCGAAGCCCGAAGTATCAAGACGTTCCCAAAGGTGAAAGTTCAAGAGCTGGCAGAGCACGTGCCGGCGGGCGGAATCCCGAGGACAATGACTGCGCCTCTGGTTGAGAACATGGGAACCTGTCGGGGTTCGAGGTTGTGACAACGATTGCCGTCACATTGTCGCTTTGGTGCTTGGTGTTGACATCAATGCTGGAGGTAATGCGTGAGGTTGTGATGATGTTGTTGCCACTGTTCTCGAAATCTTTGTTGGTAGGTACTTCTTGCTTTGCTGCTGCTGCTGCTGCTGCTGCGGTGCAGTTTTCTCTTCTGCGGGCTGTGGAAGCCCTTGCAACAGCACGTGTCTACTGCAGAAATGGGCAAGGGCAGTACAGGTCTCAAATGTTGGGATGCCGAGGGCTCTGCTTTTTCCGGGCCGGTTGAAGCCCATCGCTTCAGTACAACACCGAGCGAATACTTCAGCGATGCGCATAGGAATGTGTGTAATGAGTGTAATGGCTGCCGCGTGAACAGAGAGTAGCTTGGTGATTATGGACAATTATGGAGGTACCAAAGCACACTTTTGCGATCCTACTTCTGATGCTCACATGTGACCCCACCCTCCTCACAGCTATCTGTACGAAACAACTTGGCAATGTTCGAGAAGGGGCTTGCTCCCAAGAACCTTGATCTGCCCTCTGGTTCTGGAGTTGCTGCAATCGGAGACCTTTGAATCCTATGTGCCTATAGGTCCTGAAACATCCTGGCCACCCCCAAAGCAATGAGATGACTGAGTCAGGTGCAGGCGGAAGGCGATCTTACCCGCATGGCCCCCTGCATTGACGACGAGTATTGAAGGGAATCTCCGGTTGACGGTGAGTTTTTCTTTTTCGAAGCGTTGCAATTTGAGCCGCTGAGGAAGCCATGGTTCGATCGAATAGTATTGTCTCGCCAAGATCTCCCGGCCTCGGCCTGTGAAGCCTAGCCCAGACCGAGTAGTTGGAGCCAAAGCCTCGAAACCCGCCTCTTTGTTGTTGGGGGCTACCTTACCGCAAACCGCAAGTTCCAGGTGAAGCCCGGCCAGTCCATCACTCTCACGGGTGTCTTCTTTCCCCAAGATCTCCCCTTTGCCATGAGGATGAGGCGGGAATGTCCTGACAAAAGGCCTAGACCTATTGAGCTAAGGGCTCAGAGGATGAAATCTCGAGGGAGTTGGATGTTATTCCACCTTCGGTTCGTCTCCCTTATGGGGTTCCCGGCAAGGCAGTCTAGAAACAGGAAGGCTCAACATGTTTGTCCGAAAGTCGAAGGCGCGTTGCTTGAAGAGGCTGCTCTTTGTAGTCAGCTCCTGGTCCCCGTCCTGCTTCATGGCTACCTGTCCTGCATGTTCTTTTCGACTGAAGACATGGAAGCTTATCCGCCATAGTAGCGCGGCGATCCCGGACAGCCCCGCACAGAGCTGTTGTGCCTGAAAAGCTGGGGCAAAAAGCCTTATACCCCGAATACGAAGCCCGAGCAGTGGATCAGCCGAAGCCATCGTTGAAAGCTTGAAGCTGGTGCTTGAGAGAGCTGTGCTGTGGGTTGGGGTGAGGCAGCAGAGCACGCAAAAGATGTTCCGCGGCCGCAGTTTGACCACAGAGGTTCGTCGGTTGTGCGAAGCTCCGCAGATGATAGCATTCTCAAACCGACATTTGAGCTTGTGACCGGTCTTGCTCAAACAAGCCCAAGAGCTGGCCGTGCCACCAATCTGGTCTCGAGCTGGCCTTCGATGTGAAGGAATTCCTGACAGTGGTTGTGGCACTTGGTCTTCGTTTCTTTCTTGTTACCAGTTTCGTTTCGTTCATACTGAGAGATGCCAGAAACTCTTCGATGTTCCAAACTATTCCAAACACAAGATGGACCTAAGTCCTAAGTACAATGCATCTTGAGAATTGCTTTTCCTGCGTTCGTTTCTCTTGTCTCGTCCTACAGGACAGGACTTCTTGCTGAGACCAAACCGTAGCCAACGACCCAGGTTCATCGAAGCACATCATTTCCAGAAGCACAAGAGTGGCTACAGCGAGACCGTCGCTGATGAGGTGCGTGGGCTGGGTTTTTTGAGTTCCTCAATGAAGGGCTCTCTTTTTTCAGCACCGCTTGGCTGTCCCAGGCTCGTGCAAGCCGAGACCTTCGATACGAGTTGGGGCTGAAAAGACTCTCGGGGCCATGCCCGAAGACGAAGCCATTCAGTTTCAGTTGTAGACCATAGCTTAAGCCTGAGGCCCAATCGTGTAAAACCCATTTCAAGGTGACATCCTCAGACAGAGCACTGCCAAACCAGATGCCCAAACCTCTCTTATCCAACCCCGAGCCGCAGATGATGCTCTCTAAACCCGAAATGAAACTGCAACACAATAATTTCCGGCATGTCGGATTCCAGGGTTTGTTTACACGGGCATGATGGACTCGAGTCCGTGAGAGAGAGGGATTTAGGATACTTATAGTAACTTATAGCCCTAGAGCTTATGACCTGGCCAAGCCCGAAGAGCCAACCCCGACGACTAAGACCATGCACACATTGCCCGCATCACAGCCACAACATCCATGCCCAACTAGCACAATCAATAACAGCCTTGGTGTCTAACCAGAAGTCTTGGGCTTCCACTCGATAGCATAGTAATCACGGTGCTTCACGGCACTGCTAGTAGGGTGCGCGGTGCCATGTTTTATTGCGTTCTAGGCCCAAAACGTAATTCCCTCCATAGATGCAAGTGCTTATTTGGCTGATGCGCCTGATGTCGAGCTTAAGGTTCCAAGCAGGTTCCTCCAAACCAGGAGCTCCTGTGTTCGATGTTTGGTTGAGGTATGGCAACCATTCCTTTCCCAGAATGATACGTGACGTAGAACATCCCGCAAAAGGGGGCGCTGGAGAACAAGATCGCAGAGGCGAAGAAGCGTGGAAGCCTCTATGAGGCAGCTCGGCAAGATTAAATAATCCACCCACCCACACAAACACTCCAACCCAACATCCTTAAAGCCCTTAAACCGCGCCTCGAAAGCCACGAATCACGAAAAGTTTTGACACAAGCGCCCATGGTCACAGAACTGCTTCGGGGCGTAAACTTGGGACTTGGAGTCAGCATATGTTTCAGTTCATGACCACGCGAGCAACTTTGATGCCATGTAACTTTCGACCCTGCAGTAATCATTTCGGATGCATTGCACCGCACATTAATTGATGAGGCCGCATCGAAGTCGATTGCTCCGGAGATCTTTGGGCACCAGGACCTCGATCTCGTTGGAGAGCCAGCTTTCGGCGCCAGGTGTTGTCAGGTTGTAGGGGACCTCATTTTAAGACATTTTTGCCTGCGACATACAATCTGGAATTTCACATGTAGAATGCTGAATTATATTTTAGACGGCGACAAAACTGAATTTGGATGGGCATTAGCACCCAACAGCAGATCATGGAAGTTATTTCTTGTCGAGCCTCACGAATACGAATATTAGTATAGATGGGTATTGGCACATAGCCAACAAAACATAAATTAGATAGATGTCGAGCCAAATAAACTTAATCAATTAAGAAGGCTGTTGACCTCAACATCAAGACATGAATTCGGATGGGTATTGAGTTCCGATATCACTAAGTACAGGAGGTATTGACCTATGATAATGCAGCTTGATTTAGCAAGGAACCGAGTGGGTATTGACCCACAAGAACAACAAATCGAAATTGGATGGGTATCGGCCCATAACGTGAAACTGAATTTTGATATGTATCGAAAGGCAACAAAAACAATCTAAATTTGGATGGGTATTGACCCACAAGAACAACAAACTGAATTTACATGCGTATTGGCCCGCAATAGCGAACTGAACTCGGATGGCTATCGGCCCAGCACAACATCAACAACAGCTATAATTTGATTGGCTATTGACCCGCGGCATTCACATGCTCAAATTGTTGCTTTTGGATATATAAGACTGTATTTGGATTAGTATGGACCCAGAGAATTTGGTATGCATGAACCCAGGCTGCATGAGTGTGTGTAGGTGCTTGTTTACATGCATTTGTGTAAATATATGTAAATACCATCACTGTCTTAAACATGCTTTGTATTTTATAGCTAAAAACCAGAATCTTAAACTCAGACTCAATACGTATCACGGGCGACCGGTTGAGAAGTCACGAACACAGATGTTGATGTGCAGACTGCCAAACGGATGTTTAAGCACGTGCGAAGTCATTAGTGCCTTGTGTTTTTTTTTGAAAGTTTTGAGGATCCAGCCATTATTCATAGGGTTTGGGGTTTGCCAGCCATCATCTCCTCTCGAAGAGGCTTACGAATCAATTTTTTTGGGTTCGGGGGATGGTTTGGGCATCATGCAGCCCTATCAAAAGCTATCCGTGGCATCCGCTTATTTCAGCCGTTTGGATGTCGTACTCATCATCTCATATGTGGGCTTGACCCATGAACTGCTTTAGAGGATCTGACTTTCAAGGTTATTGCCTACTTCCATAATTTGGGGTTTCTGCAACCACGTTATCTTTAGGATTCAGCTGGATTTTGCCATGCGTCATGCTGTTTCACTACTTCCGGCTTTCCGACTTTGCTGCTTCTCTTTGATGTGATGGCATTGGCCTTCTAATATTTCCTACGCTCAGAAGGTCCATGATGAGTCTTCGTGTATTGCAAGCCTGTCCGTCTGTACAAATGTATATTGATATAGACGCATAGTGGTGTTATGCATGAACACAACTACACGTGTCATGGATACATGGGTAATATATGCATATTTGGACTATCCCGTAAGCAATATGCTTTCATGAGTTTATGTCTGATAATCTTGAGAGTACTGGTATAGATGTAAATGTTTACGTGCATCTTCGTTCATTTTTTTTATGTCTATCATAGCGGTTTGTTGCAGGGCCAGAACATTGAAGACTAGGTTTAAAAGGCCCTGTAGGTAGGTAATAGGCAGTAGGAGGTAGTAGTAGGCAGTAGTCGGTAGCAGCAGAAGTAGTAGTTGTAGTGGTCGTCGTCG